CCTACTGCACTCCTAAAAAAAAACACAGGTAAGCAGAGAGAAGCTTTAGTCATCTACAAGGGATTTCAGTTAACAATTCATAGTGAAAGTCCAAATTTAGAAAGATTGAAGTACAAACTCTATATGAAACCGAATTTCCTCTCTCTCATTTTTTGATATATATTTACTGAAAGCCTGCCACATGCCACACAGTGACAAAGTATAAAGTGGACAACCAGAGCCGATCCCTGTCCTCTTTGAGTTTACAGCCTACAGTAACAAACAATAAATAAATCAACGGAAAACATTTGCACATAGCTTAAGATAAATGCTGTGACACAAACCAACAGGGTAAAATGATCCACATGAACAGGATGGCACTCACACCGGCTTCACTCAAGGATCCCCTATGAGGAGGTAACATAAGCTGAGACCTGAGGGATAAGGAACATTTTTCTCTTCCTCCCTCGACTGGTTCTTATTAATATTATTATTATTATTATTATTTGAAAAACTGATGGAGGGAGTGTTGGGGGAAAAGTGCACACTCTCCTCTGCTCATTCACTCTCCAAATGCTTCAGGACTGTGCGAGAGCTGAGGCCAGGAGTTGGGAAGTCAATCCAAGTTATACAACTGGGTGGCAGGGTCCAGCTACTGGAGTCATCATCTGCTGCCTCCAAGAGTCTGCAACAGCCAGAAGCTGGAAGCAGGAGCTGGGTCTGGGACTTGAATCCAGGTATTCTAATAAGGACACAAGCATCTTAACCTCTAGGTCAAAAGTCTGCCCTCCTTACAACCTGGGTGTACCTTAACACAATCTCAGACATATTATTATACTAGTAAATACTTACATATGTATCTCTAATGGAAAAGACATTTTATGAATATACATATGGGGCTGGCACCGCCTGCAATGCTGGCTTCCCATCTGGGCGTCAGTTCAAGTCCCCACTGCTCCACTTCCAATCCAGCTCTCTGCTGTGGCCTGGGAAGGCAGTAGAAGATGGCCCAAGTACTTGGGCCCCTGCACATACGTGGGAGACCTGGAAGAAGCTCTTGGCTTCTGGCTTCAGATCAGCTCAGCTCCAGCCATTGCGGCCACCTGGGGAGTGAACCAGAAGATGGAAGACTTCTCTCTCTCTCTCTCTCTCTGCCTCTGCCTCTGCCTCTGCCTCTGCCTTTCAATAGTCCTGCCTTTCAAATAATAAATAAATAAATCTTTTTTAAAGAATATATGTAATGACAATGCTGTTATCTCACCTAGAAAAATTACTATTTATTTATTTTTAATGATTTATTTTGGGGGCTTGCATTGTGGGTTAACCAACAGTCTGCGATGCCAGCATACCAAATGAGCCCTGGTTCAAGTTCCAGCTGCTCCACTTCTGATCCAGCTCCCTTTTAATGTGCCTGGGAAAACAGTGGAAGATGGCCCATAGGAGACCCAGATGAAGTTCCAGGCTCCTGGCTTCAACCTGGCTCAGCCCTGGCTGTTGCAGCTATTTGGAGAGTGAACCACTGGATGGAACAACTCTCTCTCCATCTCTCCTTCTCTCTGTGTTACTCAGCCTTTCAAATAAACAATTTTCAAATAAATTTTTTTTTATTTGAAAAGCAGACTGAGAGGGAGAGATGGAGGGAGAGATCTTACATCTGATGGTTTAATCCCTGAATGGCTCCAATAGCCAAGCTGTGCCAGCCTGAAGCCAGAAGCCAGGAATTTGATCTAGGTCTCCCACATAGGTGGCAGGGCACAAACACTTGGACTGTCTTCAGCTTCTTTCTCAGATGCATTAGCAGGGAGCCAAATCCGAAGTGAGCAACTAGCACTTGAATTGCGATGCCAGTGAAAGCTTAACCAACTATGTCACAATGCTGACCCCAGTAACAATTTTAATATACATTCCATATATAAATTTCCCTGCAAATGATAACAGTGACATTTTTAGTTGGTTTCTTTTATTAGTATCTAAGATAGGTCCATGTGTTGTAATGTCATTACGTCACAGAAGTCTCTTTTGTGCAATCATAGTTTCTCCTCTTTTTTTTTCCAGCTATTTATTTGCTGAAGAAACTAGGTCAGCCACTTGGCAGAATATCATATTATGGATTTCAATGCTTTCCTGCTCATGGTATCCTTTAGCCTCTATTCCCTGTATATTCTTAAAAGCATGTAGCTGTATCTGAAGTCTTGATTACACACAGGTTCAATTTATTTGGCAAGAACATTTTAGGTGATTCAGAGTTCTTACTGTGTCACACTAGAAGCACTAATGTTCCATTTCTAGTGAAGACTCATCACCAGCTGACTTGAAGGAAAGACGGGAAAAACATCTTCAGCACAAGGGGCAATAATGTATGTCCTGAAACAAGGACTATTTAAGAGTTAAAGGATACCAGTGAAACTGGAGAACTTGTGTTTATACTGATAGGTTTGCTAACCGGTGGTGAGTTTCCCATCTAAAAAGATCTTTAAAATTAATCTTTATTAAGATAGTGAGGCATAATAACTGGGTTGGCAACTCTTTGAGAAGTGAGATTAAGCTTCCAATTTCTGTGTTTTTACTATTTATGAGGTGAAGGGGTAGAGAAATGATACAGAATATTGTCAGGAGAGAGCAGGCACAAACAAAAGTTTAAGTTGCAGTTGTGTAACATTGGGCTCCTTCTCATGTTTACCCTGGACTTAAAAGCAACCCATTATTTGCCTTTTTTTTTTTTTTTTTTTTTTTT